CACCTTAAGATGCGTACGCATCCTACGTTTTACGTCGGTCATCTCCGCCCGTACTATCACTTCGAGCCCGTTTCGAGAGGCAACGAACACCTCCGAGGTCAAGGGACGATACAGCATTCGACTGATGCCGCTTCAACGAGCCATTCTGGTCGACTAGCGAAGGCGACCTGCTCACGCAGTTGATCGATGTCTTGACGAGCTACAGCCAGCTCGTCACGAATGTAACGAGTCGAACGTTCGTTCTCAGGTTGCGCAAACGCAAAAGCGGCACGGTCGTCCGAACGATCGTACGTTAAGGAATTTTAGTTATCCTTTACAATGTCATGAAGCTCACAACGCCAAGTCCGTTCATGAGTCAGGTCGTTGTGTAACTAATCAGTTACACGGTTCAGTTCCTGAACATCAAGCTGATCCGACCCTCTAGTCGTATCAGGTGTTTCCACCACCACCACATCCTTTGGTGGACTCAAGCGGTGCTCAACACTCCCTAGTGTAGCGTCTTTAGAACCACTGCGATGTGAATGGCGTCCGGACAAATTATCTCGTCCGCTGGCGTGGCTATCCACCGGCGTGGGGCAGCTGGGAGCCTCGTGCCCGGCTGATTGTTGATGTCCTTGGTATCGTCAAGCAGTACGACGAGACCCACCCGCTGCGTTCGAAGAAGGGCCGTCGTAAAACGACCTCACCGAACGCGAGTACAGGGATTGTAAGGTGCCAATCCCTTCGGCCATCTTAGAAGAGATGCGCGCCCTCTAGTAGGGATCATTAGGTAGGTAGGCCTCCCTAGGGGCACGGTTCGAGCTGTCCAGGCAACCTGGACACGAATCACCCCACGAGAGCTAGGGCAATCCTGCCTCTCTTGACAACCGGTGCAACTTTTATCGCACCCCGACTGGGTTGCGTTTCTCAAACCTGATGCGAGCTGCATCAAGTTTACCGAGCCAGACCTAACGGCCAATGCACTCGATGCTGTGGACAAAGGCATTCCATCCTTGCACCAAAGCCATACCGTCTCGAACACGGCTGCCGTTGTACCACCGATATTTCAAAAATGCATCGGTGAAGAATTCTCCCTCAGCACGGATAGCTTCCGTTCTGGAATCAGGTGGGATAATCTTCCTGCAATCGAACAACGGGATTCGATCTCGATCGGTAGTCGAGATCGAATCCCGTTGTTCGACTGTCGCGTGGCGCAGGACATTTCGGTCCCTGGCCTCTTGATTGGTGTCAGCATGAGCACTGGCACAAGTGAAACCCCGATCCCTCAAGTTACTTCGCTAGTGGTGATGTATAGGTGCTTCTCCACGCGTCCTATCGTTGGATTGACTTGCGTGAAGCGAGGTCTTGTTGTAACAATTGCTCAATTCGAAAAAATCGAGCATGACGTCGCCACGTTATACATAGCCAGTCAACTTGGCTCTTGCAATGTCCGCGTCGGAAGATCCGGAGGCGTAAGGTGTCGCCTTCGAGTCGGATGCATCATCCAACTGTCCAGAATATATGAGCTCTATCTCAGACTCGTCTTGATTACGACTCGTGGTGCCCCCTGCAGACGCAACGGATGTACCTGTCGCACGTGGTGACTCACCACGTGGACGATTCACAACCCTAGGCGACGAATCACCTGCTGCTGAGGTGTGAGAGGCACTTTCAGCGGCTGCAGTATCAACTCGCTTGGTTTTTGAAACCTTGGGGCGGATTGGCAAATGAATGGGATTTGACCAACAAGCGCTCCCTTTTCTAGAGTGATCCAACGGTGGTCACCCTGTCCCAATCAATTCCATACAATTAACGGTTGATTGATGGCAAAGGGGGGAGTGATGTAACGGGGTAGCCGATACATGACATTGACACTAAACGGTATCAATAGGTATATTGTCTAGCATGACAATAATACTACAAATAATTTCCGAGATGAAAAATGTCGAAGGAACATTATTCCCTATTTAGGATAACATTAATTCGCTGCTCCAAGATTGGTTGATACAAGACATATCAACCATAGATTGCCACCAATCGCTGCTAGATGCGCGTAATGAGTGGTGAGCAGGTTGTCGTCATACGACGACGTAGTTTAATATAGTTGGATAAAAATTAAGGCACATTGATAGCTTAACTATACTAAATACAGTTATCTTCTTACTTTGTACTCCAACTAGCTGTTCAAGTAGATTAGCTTCCTCTGCACGTTCCAGTGTACGTAATGTTTCGCGGCACCCCAAGCAAAGGGTTCCCGTTACACAACCACACCCAAACTATCACTTACTAGGCAAGACATACATTGGCAATAAGCCACCTATCATATTGTAACCCGCCCGCTGACGGGTACACAAGAAGAGAAGGAAAAATACGAGACACACAGTCCGAAGTACCTCTACATTAGTCGGTTGTCCGGGCGCCAGTGGGAAGTTACGATCGCTTGGCAAAATTGATAAGTCCCACTCCTTATTTCTGCTTCTATGATAGTAGATGGAGTTCATAGTACTCCTGTTCTGCTTTAAAGTGGATACAGACTCCTTTTCAGCAGTTATGATGCGACGTTACTTGAGTGGTTTCCGGGGCTCCGAGACCACTCGAACCTAAATTAGTATAGAATACAGCATTACTTTATCAATTTTAGAGTTAAATTTGATCTCAATAGTTCGCGCTGAACACGTGTGCTCTCCGTATGATGGACTCCTTAAATATGCTAGTGTGTGTTTAAGTAAATGAAAGCTCGCCACTTTACACGGCATCGTGTTTGAACTGAATTCCGCATAAGTCGATATTTCGAAAAATACACGGTGTTACAGAGTGGGTGTTAGAAAACTACGACTCCAACCATCTAGAAATCGAACGTTGTAGCCGTGTATCAAAAATCATCCCTGTTTGACCAAAAACACTCAGTTAAAAGAACTTACAGAGCGAATAAACTTCAACTCGAGCTCGCTGATGTTGCAAGCGCGCTATGAACCAAAGGTACGAGCATGACACATCCTTCATCTATAAGAAGTATTTTGATGGCTTCAGGCAGTAGCGGTTTATGTTGATGTCATAGTACAAAACTAAGCAGATGGTAATAACTTAACTTATTGCCATTAAAGTCCCGTTGGAGTAGTTTACAGACTCACTTCCTTATACAGGAAATTTAGGGTCTTTGAAGATGCAAAAAGCCGTAAAATGCGCATCGTCATTAAATTTGTCATAGCTGAACACAATGCGTCATTTTATTTTTTTGCAGTCAGACCACGGACTTTACTTGCAATTTAACAAATACACCTCACTATCTGTATATCTGCTCCTGATCACAACGAGGACCAGCGATAATGAGGTGAAGCGAGTTTTCGGCTATGATAGACTTAAGGGTTAAAAAGCCGGATGGACATGAGACTTTGTGGCCGGGAAAGGAATCGAAGAACTATAAAGCACAAGGAAAGAGAGGCCGTTGGGTCCAACCATGACTAGTGGTCAAGTTTAACAGTAACGGGTTCATAAAGAACGACGGCGCCAATAAAATGGTACCTTAATGAATCATTCCAACCGCTAGTCGGTCGGCCTGTCGCCCAAGGTCGACCTTGGGTACCTGTAAGCCGTCCTGACCACCCATCGGTCTACCTGGTCACTCTTAGGTTGACTCGGTCCCTCAAGGTCTGGTGGCTCCTAGCCACTCATCATTGCGAACTCAGGTGCAAGGAAAGAATAGAGTTAAGGAGCTTGCACTAAGAAACTTATAAGCCTACCGACCTATTGCGGGCCAGGGATCTGTTTGGCCCACCCGTTTAACAGACAGTTGTCATTAATGCACAAGCGTTAGTAGAACCCCAGGAATTACATTGGCCTGTAAGTTCGAAGAGTAGCACACTCCAACTTAAGCCCGCCATGGGAAGCGGTCTCTATACCCTAGTGGTAAGCTAGAATACACATAAAGGCCAGGCGGCTAAAACATCTGAGACATCCAAAGGCCAGGCGCCACCAGCACCTGAGACAAATGATCATAAGACCACTTTTGACCAAGTAGATCGAGTGGCCGCCTACATTGGACCCCGACTGAAGCCTATGCGCTCAGGACCCCCCCCCCAGGTCGACCTCCGTTAAGGCCAACTTCTACATCATCATTGAGTCCTCTGAAGAGTGAAATCCGTTGTGACGAGGTGAGTCAAGGTCCACAAGCAGCATCAGGGTACCCCCTCCGACACTCGGAGGAACGGCACAGTGAGTGGTTTGGGGTCTCGTCAAGTAGTTGAGATAACCCACTCCACCACAGAGTCGTTTACGACTCCTTGGTACTTAGAGACTTATACCTTAGAGCCTCGCGTCGACGCTGAAGCAGCAATTTGAGTATATTGCTGTCTCAGGATCTCAGTCAGATCTTGCTTATGCAGTAGGTCACATCAGCTTGCGATGCGTCGCGTTATCACTGCAAGAACTTGGCAATCACGGAATGTTGCTGGTCCTGTTCCTTGAGGATAGAAGAGACCAAACATCTTCTTTGCCAACGGTCAAACTCATTCTTTCGGTAACAATTCGTTCAACATCACTCAACTATGGGTAGTGTAACGGGATAGCTCGTTACATGACATTTACACCAAACGGTGTCAATAGGGATATTGTCGAGATTGACAATATCCTACCGATATTATCCAAGATGGATAATGTCGAAGGAGTATTATCCCCTTTTGGATAATATTCATGCGCTGCTCCAAGATTGGTTGATGTAAGACATATCGACCATAGATTGCCACCAATCGCCGCTAGACGCGCGCAGTGAGTGGTGAGCAGGTTGTCGTCATACGACGGTGTAGTTTAATATAGTTCGATAAAGATTAAAGTTATATTTATAGCTTAACTATACTAAATACAGTTCTCTTTTTACCTTTACTTGACCGAGTCGTTCAAGTAGATTAGCTTCCTCTGCACGTACTAGTGTAGGTGAAGTTTCGTGGCACCCCAAACAAAGGGTGCCCCGTTACACCTGGTAGCACTTTGTAGTCCGTCCAACGACTGCTTAGTGTCCGTCCAACATGAACGTGTTGGACGTAGAAGACGACAGCTTTCACGTCACACATGAAGGCTACTCTCATCAGACTGACTCAGAGTGGGAGGTAGTCGGCCGCTTGAGTGTGCTCATGGGCGAACCCGCCATCAGTGGTATGTTGGAGTCCCTAAGCAAGAACCAGCTTTATGCTGCTACTAACAAGTTCCTACAAGGGGAACTTGCTGTCGAAAGACAGAAGATAGCCTTGCTGCAACAGCAAGGCTCTCATCAGTCGATGGGCGGGCCGACGCACATGCGTCAATCCGAAACCTTGAGGATTGATATCTCAAGGTAGAAGAGAACCGATGAAGATTCCCTTTTGAGATGGTTCGTCGAGTAAGACGATTCCATCAGGGCCCGTCACATCTTGGGTGACGAGATGCAAGTCACCTTCGCCCTGTCAAATTTGACGGGACGAGCAAAGACTTGGAACTTAGGGCTCATGCTTCACGACCCAAACGTGTTTGAGTCGTTGGATATCTTGAAGTCTTGACCTAAAGAGACGTTTGAGCCGCCGTGAGCCGAGTTCAGAGCACGCTCTGCACTCTTGAGGCTAAAGCGAGGTAAGCGTGACGTGCAAGCTTACGCACAGCACCTGCGCTACCTTGCGAGTAGCGTCACAAAAAACCCTGTTGATGAGCACACGCTCATCAACGTGTTCATCTACGATCTTGTGGATGGGCCGGTGAAGACCTACATGTTTCAAGAGGACTTCCATGCGCTGTAAAAGGTAATAGAGAATGCAGAACAAGAAGACTTCAGCCTGAAATAGTCTCAGGATAACTCGTCAAATTATCGTCCTACAGGACGACAGAAAACAGGAGGTTCCAAACCTATGGACCTCTGTTACATCGAGAGCGAGAACTCTCGCTCTCTGAGTCACAAGGGAACCGCTAGATGCCATGGCTGTCAGAAGATTGGACACTTCGCTCATGAGTGTAGTGTCCCGAGCACTGCAACACGTCCAAAGACAGGACGTGATGACGCCGCTGGCCGAAAATATGGTCCAAGGCGCGGGTCCGACCAAGTCGCTAAACCGCGACAGCAAGTCGGATCGTCAAAAAACGGACAAGGTCAGTAGGGGCGGAGCACCCTGCTGATTCAGCGACGTCAAGAGAATTTGCAGGACTCTTGACGAAGGTTGCTCCCAACAAACAGTCTATGTGTGCTACTGCCCCTAGTGATGAGGTGTACCTCATCACTTTGAAGATCGAAGTGACAAGTGGAATGTCACTTCGCGCCCTTAGTTGACTGTGGTGCGTCGAACAGTTTTATTCGACGCTAGTCGCTAGAGGATAGTAGGCTTAACTTTGTTGAGCGAGAGTTCCCTCGAACGAGGATGACGGTGTGCCTTGCTACAGGCGCATCCGTAACAGTGATCAAACGTGTAGTGCGAATCCACTACACGCTAGAAGGAAAGCAGTACGATGATGACTTTATCGTATTAGATTTGGATGACAAATTTGATGTCATCCTCGGTCTGCCATGGCTTAGAAAGTACCAGCCATGGTCAGCTGTCAGGCATCGATCCGTGAAGATGCCTGCCGTTTGTTCATCGGATGGCCATCTGATGAACGTTTTGGAGCGTCTGCAAGCGTGTGGATGTACTACGAGTGAGTGCGATGGTCTCACTTGTGGTACGGTCGTTAGTACGATTGCACAAGATCACAGTGTAGCAGGCCAATACACTGTGAAACCATCTTCCGGCACCTGTGTAAAGACACAGGCTGCGCCGAAGGTTCACCACTCGAAGAGATCGAGTGGACTGGAACACGGACGCACTACAAGAAGGGTGCATCCGAGAAGAGAGACTAGTGTCGTTCAGGATGAACTTCACGTTGAAGCGAGATCGACTATCAGAGAGAGTCGATTGTAGAGCAAGCCCGATCGACTGAAAGAGAGTCGATCGAAGAGGACGTGACTGTGGTAGCACACCCACAGCTAGTACGCGTAATGGAAGAAAGTTCCAGCGTTCCTGAGAGTGATAACTTCCGAGAGAGTGATGTTGAGGGTGTGGATCCCCAACCACCTGCGGATGTGTTTTCCCCGGAAATCACCGAGTCAGTTAATGTCTTGGTGAATGACGGATCAAGTGTAGGCGCTTATACACTTGATCTGGTGACGAACCTGAAGTCAGCTTCGGATGTAGTCAAGTTGTCAACGCACGAACCTAAAAGGTTCTTGCGAGATCTGCGTAGTGACAAGATCAAGCAGATCTGCGCACTCGTCACAGAGGACGAGTAAGTCGCCGATATTCGGTCGACACAAGTGTTTTGCTGGGAACGAACGGGTTCTCAGTAGCTCATCGATGGACGAGAGTGTCCTCGATGAGAAGACCCGGATTTAGCGATACACGTCTCAGTTTTGGGATTCTTTAAAGACAAATCCTTTGTATAAGGATTTGGCTGAGTTCAGGGATGTTTTCCCGGAATCCGTGCCATGCGAGCTCTCCTAGGACAAGGTACTCGGCATGAGATCGAACTGAAACCCGTTTCGAAGTACTGTGTCATGAAGCAGTGGCCACTGCCTCGTGAACAGGTAACAGCGATCGACAAGTTCTTTGCCGATCGTTTAGCGGCAGGTCATGTGAGAGAATCAACATCCCCACACAGCTCTCCGACCTTCTGTGTGCGAAAGGCAACAGGAGGGTGGCCGATAGTGCACGCGTTCAACAAACTGAAATCTGCAACGGTAACGGCTCAAACGCCACTGCCAAAAAAAAGGATGTCATCATATATGGTATGGTAAAAAATACCATGTTTTCATCCATGGATTTGATGGATGGATTCTATCAGATCCTCATGCGTGAACGGGATATCCCTTACACAGCAGTGAGCACCCCCAGTGTTATGCTCCGGGAGTGGCTAGTGATGCCACAGGGGCTAAGTAACGCCCCTGCAACGTTTTTAACATTTGTGTCTGTTGCGATCGGTGCGCGATTTTGCACCGAGTTACTTCGACGATGACTTCGTCCATAGACGGGCTATGAATGGAAAAAACGGACGTGGAGGTTCATAGAATCCACGTCCGGAAGGTTCTTACACTAATGCGAGAGCATAAGTTGTTCGCGAACCTCAAGAAGTGTGTATTCGCAGCGAACAAAATACCACTTCTTGGCTCCATCGTGGGTAAAAACGATGTAAGCCCTGATCCCGAAAAGATCAAGGCGCTTAGCGACTGTCCTGTGCCAGTCGACGTCAAGGGACTTCAAAAGTTCATTGGCTTAGCGGCGTAATTGCATAAATACTCGCGCAACTATGCCGAGATGACTGTACATCTCTCTCGACTGCTGAAGAAAAAAAGAGAGGTGGTCATGGAGCGCTGAGTGTCAGCAGTCTTTTGAAGGCATCAAGAAAAGCTTGGTGCAATCGCCTGTGTTGGCGATTGCAGACCAGGACAGACCATTCTATGTGTTCTGTGACGCCAGCAATTTTGCAATCGGCTGCGCGTTAATGCAGTACGACTCAGACGGCGTTGAGCGCGTCGTCTGTTATCAATCGCGTCAGCTGCAAGCAGCTGAGCGTAATTGCCCGGTACATGACAAGGAACTCCTTGCCATGAAATATGCACTGGCTAAGTATCGGGTATATATCTTAGGAGATAGGCCCTTCATCGTTTATACCGACCATGCGTCATTGCGCACGGCCGCAAACAGTTCACACCTCTCGCAACGAATGGCGAGGTGGCTGTCTTTCTTTGCGGAGTACAACTTCTCCGTCGAGTATAAACCAGGCCGACTTAATGTCGTCGCTGATGCTATTTCGTGACGGCCCGATTTCAAGCCGACTGCTCAACACAACAGTATAGGTGATCCCACTGTCGCGACACGAACAGTGAGTGTTTCGTCGTCGAATATGCTCGACGACGTGCGGAAAGCATACGCAAAAGATAAGTCTCTTCTACGGTTGACCGGTTACGTATCTAATCCATTGCAGTTAATCTTTGAAAAGGTTGAAGTCTCGATAGCGCTCTTCAAACGAACGGTATTCGGTTCGTGCTGGATTACTCTACTATACAGCAGTCAACGGCGACACACCTCGTGTCGTCGTTCCGGCTCATTATGATTTGCGACTGCGGCATCATGTATGAGTGTCACGATGCCCCAACAAGTGGGCATCGAGGTAGAGAAAAGACTTACCTCACGGTGAGTCGTGACTTCTACTGGCCACGCCAGTATGAGTTTGTGCGCAAATACATTCGCGCTTGCAAAGTCTGCCATTAGGTGAAGCCTAGTCCTTTATACCGTACATCCTTGCAGCGTCTTCCGATTCCGGCAGAGTGTTGGCAGTCCGTATCGATGGACTTCGTCTTCGGGTTTCCCAAAGACGTTCACAAGAATACTGGTATTCTTGTGTTTGTCGATCGGTTCAGCAAGACAACACATCTTGTTGCTGTACCGGAGTCAATCATAACCTAGGGCTGTGCTCGTGTCTTCATCGATACTATCTTCCGACTCCACGGGTTACCCCGTGAAATCGTGGCTGATAGGAACCCCCGATTCACTGCGGAGTTCTGGCAATCCGTGTTCCGTTCACTTGGAACACGTTTGACGATGTCAACTTCTGACCATCCAGAAACAGATGGTCAGACGGAACGCGTCAACCACGTCCTCGAAGAGATAATTCGAGGGTATGTCCACTCTTTTACGAGATGTAGTGAGTTCTTGCCGATGGCGGAATTCGCCATCAACAACTCGGTGCACGCGTCTACAACGCATACACCTTTCTTCGTGAATTGTCCTACGCCATCCACGTTTACAAGTCTTCTTAGAGTGTGATTCTAGTTTAAGGGGAATGGTGGACTCGCTCGAACAAAATCCGATCCGGTTCTTGCTCATCACCCGTCAACAATGGTGTCGACGTGATGGATGCCGATGTCGATGGGATCGATATTGATGTTGATGATGACGACGATGCTGGTTTATTCAGCATCGCCAATGACTACCAAAGTGACGACGATGACACCCTCACTGGTGCAGACAACGTTCTTTCAGCAGTGTACACGGAGCGCACTGCTGTTGACAAGGATAAATCAGCAGAGCAATTCTGCTGACTCGCGAAGCGGTTGTCCGCTTCGTTCAAGACTCTTTTCAGATGCACTAGACAGAAAGAAGAGAAACGCAGACAAACATGGAAGAGCAAATGTTCTTTCAGTTCATGAAGTAGACTCAGTTTTACTGTCAACAGTAAATCTACCAAAACACGCAGTGACGAACTTGAGCAGCAGTAAATTACTGCCCAAGTATTTCGGTCCATTTCGTGTGTTGCGCCGAATGGGCAACGCATACACGATTGGACTGCACCTTAAGATGCGTACGCATCCTACGTTTTACGTCGGTCATCTCCGCCCGTACTATCACTTCGAGCCCGTTTCGAGAGGCAACGAACACCTCCGAGGTCAAGGGACGATACAGCATTCGACTGATGCCGCTTCAACGAGCCATTCTGGTCGACTAGCGAAGGCGACCTGCTCACGCAGTTGATCGATGTCTTGACGAGCTACAGCCAGCTCGTCACGAATGGAACGAGTCGAACGTTCGTTCTCAGGTTGCGCAAACGCAAAAGCGGCACGGTCGTCCGAACGATCGTACGTTAAGGAATTTTGGCTATCCTTTACAATGTCATGAAGCTCACAACGCCAAGTCCGTTCATGAGTCAGGTCGTTGTGTAACTAATCAGTTACACGGTTCAGTTCCTGAACATCAAGCTGATCCGACCCTCTAGTCGTATCAGGTGTTTCCACCACCACCACATCCTTTGGTGGACTCAAGCAGTGCTCAACACTCCCTAGTGTAGCGTCTTTAGAACCACTGCGATGTGAATGGCGTCCGGACAAATTATCTCGTCCGCTGGCGTGGCTATCCACCGGCGTGGGGCAGCTGGGAGCCTCGTGCCCGGCTGATTGTTGATGTCCTTGGTCTCGTCGAGCAGTACGACGAGACCCACCCGCTGCGTTCGAAGAAGGGCCGTCGTAAAACGACCTCACCGAAAGCGAGTACAGGGATTGTAAGGTGCCAATCCCTTCGGCCATCTTAGAAGAGATGCGCGCCCTCCAGTAGGGATCATTAGGTAGGTAGGCCTCCCTAGGGGCACGGTTCGAGCTGTCCAGGCAACCTGGACACGAATCACCCCACGAGAGCTAGGGCAATCCTGCCTCTCTTGACAGCCGGTGCAACTTTTATCGCACCCCGACTGGGTTGCGTTTCTCAAACCTGATGCGAGCTGCATCAAGTTTACCGAGCCAGACCTAACGGCCAATGAACTCGATGCTGTGGACGAAGGCATTCCATCCTTGCACCAAAGCCATACCGTCTCGAACACGGCTGCCGTTGTACCACCGATGTTTCAAAAATGCATCGGTGAAGAATTCTCCCTCAGCACGGATAGCTTCCGTTCTGGAATCAGGTGGGATAATCTTCCTGCAATCGAACAACGGGATTCGATCTCGATCGGTAGTCGAGATCGAATCCCGTTGTTCGACTGTCGCGTGGCGCAGGACATTTCGGTCCCTGGCCTCTTGATTGGTGTCAGCATGAGCACTGGCACAAGTGAAACCCCAATCCCTCAATTACTTCGCTAGTGGTGATGTATAGGTGCTTCTCCACGCGTCCTATCGATGGATGGACTTGCGTGAGGCGGAGACTCATCGGAAATATTAACTCGATCCGAAGATCTCGTTCATAAAACCGCCGCGTTGACCAGAGCCAGTCAACCTGGCTCTTGCAGTGTCCGCCCCGGATGACCCCGAGGCGTGAGGGGTCGCCTTCGAGTCGGATGCATCATCCAACTGTCCAGAATATATGAGCTCTATCTCAGACTCGTCTTGATTACGACTCGAGGTAACCACTGCAGACGCAACGGATGTAATTGTCGCAGGTGGTGACTCACCACGTGCAGTTTTCGTGACAACAGGCGACAAATCGCCTGCTGCTGAGGCGTGATAGGCACTTTCCGCGGCCGCACGCAAGCGTGCAGCCGCTCTTCTTGCTGCTGCAGTATCAACTCGCTTGGTTTTTGAAACCTTGGGGCGGATTGGCAAATGAATGGGACTTGATCAACAAGCGCTCCCTTTTCTAGAGTGATCCAACGGTGGTCACCCTGTCCCAATCAATTCTAATTCAATCAAAGGGTGATTGATGGTTAATGGGAAGATGTAACGGGGTAGTTCTTAACATGAAATTGAGACCAAACGGTGTCAATAGGGATATTGTCGAGAATGACAATATCCTACCGATATTATCCAAGATGAATAATGTCGAAGGCGTATTATCCCCTTTTGGATAATATTCATGCGCTGCTCCAAGATTGGTTGATATAAGACATATCGACCATAGATTACCTCCAATCGCCGCTAGACGCGCGCAGTGAGTGGTGAGCAGGTTGTCGTCATACGACGGTGTAGTTTAATACAGTTCGATAAAGATTAAAGTTATATTTATAGCTTAACTATACTAAATACAGTTCTCTTTTTACCTTTACTTGACCGAGTCGTTCAAGTAGATTAGCTTCCTCTGCACGTACTAGTGTAGGTGAAGTTTCGCGGCACCCCAAACAAAGGGTGCCCCGTTACAGGTACCTTTTACGGGTGCCATGAAAGGTGTCGTCGTCTTCATCGTTAAACATGTTCATGTACATCGGGTTTTGCGGTATTTGGAAAGACTACAAAGTGCTACGAGGTGTCACGGGGCACCGGAGAAACACACTGTAAAAATTTGTGGAGCTACTAAAACCGACAGCAGTGTGAGTGGTGCCTCGCTACCTTTGTAATGAGACAGAATAATCGAAAAGAACTGGAAACTGACTTTATGCTGGTAAAAGTAAAACTATAAGGAACAATAAAATGTCTTGAACATTAACCCATGTTTAGTCCTGACTTGATAATATTTGTAACGGGGCACCCTGAAGCTTGTACTGATGACTGTAACGGGGCACCCTGAAGCTTGTACCGGTGACAGTACAAGCTACTTATTCTGATGACAGAATAAGGCGGTGCCTCGTAACTTCACGTACACTCGTACGTGCAGAGGAAGACGGTAAGAAGAAGCGAGTACTTGGTTAGAGTAAAAAGTAGAACTGCATTTATCATAGTTTATGTATGTTAATGAACCACTATTTATCCTCATCTAACTATGTTTAAATACAAATGTGTAAATCAACTATCTGCTCACCACTCATTGCGTGCGTCTGTCGTGGCCCGTCTTAGTTGGTTGATACAATGGCCTATATCAACCAATTAGGAACTACTCGTAAGTGCTGTAGAATATTGTCCTTATGACAATATTCTGAGAATTAAATTCTTATAGTCATGTTCTATTAACAATTTCTTATAAATTGTTATGTAACGCCTCACCCCGTTACAATGACAGTACAAGCTACTTATTCTGATGACAGAATAAGGCGGTGCATCGTAACTTCACGTACACTCGTACGTGCAGAGGAAGACGGTAAGAAGAAGCGAGTACTTGGTTAGAGTAAAAAGTAGAACTGTATTTATAATAGTTAAAATCTGCAATAAATCACTATTTATCCTCATCTAACTATGTTTAAATACAAATGTGCATATCAACTATCTGCTCACCACTCATTGCGTGCGTCTGTCGTGGCGCGTCTTAGTTGGTTGATACAATGGCCTATATCAACCAATTAGGAACTACTCGTTAATGCTACAGAATATTTGTCCTTATGACAACATTCTGAGAATATACCTCTTATAGTTATATTCTATTAACAATTTCTCATAAATTGTTATGCAACGGTTCACCCCGTTACAATATTTATCTACCAAATATACGCCAAACTCTTACTCACCACTCATTGCGCGCGTCCATCATTGATTGGGCCGTTAGAGATGGCTGATGTGATGACCCATGCCAACCAATCGGTGAGTGCTTCGGAATATTACGCCTAAGGGCACTATTCACGAATATTACCAGTCCTTATAATAATTTTCAAACTAAAAATAATAAGGGTTTAATTAAATGTAATAGGCTCACCCCGTTACAGTGCTAATCTTGCGAATTGATTTATTTTAAATTGTTATGTCGGCTTCCTTGCAGCGGCAGGGATAGGTGGCCACCCGGATCGTTCTTGTGTCACACGAATATTGGGGAAGAAAACATGATAAAACCTGATTCCTTAATATCGTATGCTGATGGGTTATAAAAACCATGAATACTCCTTTGTAGAAAAGACTGGGTGCTAGCCCAGGTTTATAGGCAAATGTGAGGTCACTCTTGGTCTAGGTCACTACTGAAGCACACGCACTAAATTTGCGTCAAATCTATAGAAGGTGAAATGAATAAGCAAAAGCTGGACGTTTAGAAGCAAAGGCTGAACGCGTTCCCCAAGTACACTATACTGAGTTAATGCAGACATTAATAGCATTAGACTCATTTTCTAGTAACTGCTGTTGCATAGTGGTTTGCGACTTGATTCGATTCTATGAACTGAATAATCATACTAAAGGGCGAGCTCCAGAGCTTGATCTCCTATCTAAAAATCGAAAATAATGTTTGCTAGCTTAATATTCCCGGGTATTTTTGCGATTTGTAAATACCGTGTTTCGGTCACATGCCGTTTCACGCACAAAATCACAATGGCCATACCGGTATTCCCATTATCAGGACCAGAAAGTGCCGATGTAAGGCATAAATAAAAAAGGAAACTTCCTCAATAGAGCATACTGTGGTTATTCCAAGCTTTTTCTGCCCCTCACAGTCCACGGCCTGAAGTAGCAACTGACTCTCGAATCGACATGACGTGGAGGATGTTGAACGCGTTCTTTACGCCACTAATCGTGTTGCCACTGCTGACTCATACTGCAGCCGCTGGAATGGAGTCTGTCATGGGCATCGTCAATAGCAATCGCACCGTGAACCTGGACCCAAGCGTGCAGCACGTCCCGCTCGATCCCGCCAAGGCGCACATGCGGCCACCACCGGCGCAGATCCGTGCGGTCTCCGACATTTTCGTGGGCATTTCAGTATTTCGCGATGGTTTCCGTTGCGGTAAGACTATTTTTACTGGACTTAAACGTGCCAAGTACCCGGACCATCTTTTCTTTGGTATCGTGGACCAGATAAATGATGGCGACGAGCGTTGCGTCGACGAGTACTGCAAATTAGCAGAAGCAGAGTGGCCGGACAAAGGCGAGTGTCCATACAGGGACCACATTCGTGTGGACTTGCGCTCGGCTTCCGAGTCGCGAGGTCCTACACTCGCGCGTCACTACCAGCAGAAGCTCATTGAGCGAGAGGAGTTCTGTCTGCAGATCGATGGTCACAGCATCTTCACAAACCTTTGGGACGAGAACCTACTGGCTGAATGGAAACGTGTGGACAATGAGATGGCCATTCTGTCCACGTACTTACATGACCTCCATGACTTTATCAAAGAAAATGGCGACAACGCTTTTTCTTCATCTTTGCCTCACCTGTGCTCGACCAAGCGTGGCTCTAATGGACTAGTTCGTACTATCGGTGCTAGCATGATCAGTAATAGTAAGTTTCCACAGCTGCAAGCACTGTGGGGCGCCGGTATGTCCTTCAACAAGTGTCATGCCGAGCGTCGCGTGCCTGTGGACTCGCACACGCTTTGGCTGTTTGATGGTGAGGAGTTTTTGCGCGCAGCCCGATTGTGGACGAGTGGCTACGACATGTACTCTCCCAGTGACTTGGGCTCTGTGGTGTTTCACAATTACTCGAAAGTGCCTGCTCGCTTTGAGCATATCAAGGTAGATCGACAACTAAGGTTGCGTGAGAAGGAGATGGCGTTAAATCGCTTCAACCTTCTGGTTGGCAAGCCTATCAAGGGTCGCGTTGACACGTTCGAGCTGGACAAGTATGGTTTCGGTTCAGTGCGCTCGTTCAAGAGTTACCTCGACTTCTGCGGTGTAACTTTCCAGGAAGGTGTGAACGATACCGAATCATGCGAGCAACTTCACTGGGTACCTTACGAGAATGAAACAGAGGTGGAGGCTTTGGTGGACAATGGTTGGAAGCTTGGCGAAATGAACCGAGGCGTTACTGTAGAAAGCGTTTTGCTGACAAAGGAACACGAAGTCGTCGACGAGGATCCGAATGCTGAGACTGCACGGCACGCGGCAGATGCGCACGTCAGAGACGGTGCGGATATTGGTGAAGACGAAACGATAGATAAAGTGAAGACGCGGCTGCGACAGAAAGTGACGGACAATCGCGTAGCAAAGGGTGATCCCGCTGCATGGGTTTGGCCTTTTCTTTTTGTCGTTACGGCAGCTCTTTTTCTGGGATTTTTCAAGGACAGCATATCCCGTAGGATCCGACTTTCACTTCGCGCCAGCGTGCCGCGTCTTCACAGTTCGATTGAGTAATGCCGGCGTATTGAATACGAAAGACGGTTAGCGTAGATAATGGTTATGTCCTGCTGTTCACATCATTGCTGTATAAGCAACATATTGTGAGCTGCAAGCACCCTTCCATGAACGAACCCGCGTCTTTCTCACAGCACTGTGTCTTCGTCTTCTTACTTGTCGTGGTAGTCCTGCACCGTTTGAATGCATCCTTGTGCTTACGTGTATCTTTCTGTTGCAGTATATGGGAAACGACAGGCATTGTTGGTTCATCTTACCCCCGGCGAGTTGACTCGCCGGGGGTAAGATGAACCAACTTTCTTGTGCTCCATCCTATAAACATGATTGAGCATCTCGGATCTTAGTCATGATCCTGAAAACATATCGTCACCAGGCCGCAATCTACATGAACAAGTTACTCGGTATGTGTATCTACAGGACGCAAACTATAGCAAACAGTGCACAGGACGACGCTTGAGTGCTCTAGACATTGTATTCGTAAGCGTGATGCGTTCCACCAAGTCAAGAGCTGTGGCTTCGTAGTAGAGTGTTTGTCCATATTGGAGTAGCAGAATATCGCATACACACAGTCTCTGGTGGGGTCCCCTTGGGCCGAAAACGACAGCAAACGTAAGATAACGGAGACGTCGCATAAGAAAAACGTGGATGCGGCATCCCACTGCGCCTCTTTTTTTCGTCACCCTGCTACATCACACCAGTTGATCCTGGAACCTCCATGAGCGCATTTAGTCTCTTAGGTTGGACAACCGAAAGCCTCGTCAAAAGACTGCACGCACAATGACAATTGCTTGTCGGACAATACCAAGTTTTTATGGACGCGTTCTGAAATAATCATGTTTGCTGACGTCAATAATAAAAATTTACGACGCGCCTGCTGATATACTATGACGTATATCCAATCGCAAACACCTTGCATCTGAGGTGTTTGACGCCATTTTCCTTAATAGTTACCAAATCCAGGCTTTGCGTCTTTCTTGCGTAAAAATCTCGCGGCAATTTGGTTGGAGATGTTGAATTTATCAACCATCTATACCATAATGGTAGCCCACCCAGGTGGACAATCATGCGTTAAACTGATCGGATGACGGTACCAAACGCGATCTCTCGCTTCTTACGCGACATTCGAGCTTGTTGGTTGTGACAGGGTGAATCGTTACATAACAATTTATGAGAAATTGTTAATAGAATATAACTATAAGAGGTATATTCTCAGAATGTTGTCACAAGGACAAATATTCTGTAGCACTTACGAGTAGTTCCTAATTGGTTGATATAGGCCATTATATCAACCAACGAAGACGCGCCACGACAGACGCACGCAATGAGTGGTGAGCAGATAGTTGATATGCACATTTGTATTCAGACATAGTTAGATGAGGATAAATAGTGATTTATTGCAGACATTAACTATGATAAATGCAGTTCTACTTTTTACTTTAACCAAGTACTCGCTTCTTCTTACCGTCTTCCTCTGCACGTACGAGTGTACGTGGAGTTACGAGGCACCGCCTAATTCTGTCATCAGAATAAGTAGCTTGTACTGTCACCAGTACAAGCTTCAGGGTGCCCCGTTACACCTGGTAGCACTTCGTAGTCCGTCCAAGGACCACGTTCACATCCAACACGAATATGTTGGATGATGAAGATGACCAAAGCTTTCACGCTACGCGTGACGGCTACTCCCATTTGAGCGATGTCGAATGGGATGCGGTTGAACGAATGGGTTCAACCATGGGCATCCATGCTGTTAGCGTCATGCTAGAGGCTCTCAATAGAGATGCCCAACATGCTACTATCGCCAAGTTCATTCAAAATGAACTTGACGCTGAACGCGAGAAAGTAGCCTTGCTTCACCAACAAGGTTCTCAACAAGCAGAGTTGTTGAGAGAACAGGGTGTTCAACAGTTTGAACTGTTGAGACAGCAGCAGGCTGCTGCTGGTGGGTCGATGCACTCGCGTCGACCCGAAACCTTGAAGATTGACATCTCCAAGTATAGGGGAGTCGAAGAAGACTCCCTCTTGAGATGGTTCGTCGAATTCGATGACGCCATAAGGGCGCGTCGCATCGACGACGGGGATATGCAAGTTGCATTTGCCCAGTCAAATCTGGCAGGACGTGCCAAGACTTGGGCACTGGGGCTCAAGTTGCACGACCCATATGCGTTTGGGTCGTCGGAAGTCTTCAATTCGCGGCTCGGACAAACGTTTGAACCGCCTAGAGCTGAGTTCAAAGCTCGAACCGAACTCTTGAAGCTCAAACAAGGTAAGCGTGATGTGCACGCTTACGCGCAACATATACGACATCTTACGAGTTGTATAAGTTCCAATCCGGTGGATGAACACACGTTGGTTTCGGTGTTCATGCAGGGTCTTGCGGATGGTCTCGTCAAGACTCACCTGTTCCGACTTGAACTGGATTTACTAGAACAAGCCATTTCCATTGCGGAACAGGAAGAATTCAGTCTGAGACAGGCTCGCGCCAGCTCGACATCATATCGTCCACCGAGACGATATGACAGCGGAGGTCCAGAGCCGATGGAACTCTGTTATGTAGAGAGCGAGAAGGCTCGCTCTACAGACTACAAGAAGTTGCAGAGATGCAACAGATGTCAAAAGACAGGACACTACGCTTACGAGTGTAGTGCCCCTCGTCCAGTGTCTCGCAACACTGGGCGTAGTGACCGTCCACCCATGAGAAAGGGGCAAGGACGCGGGTCCGCTGTTGGTGCAAAGACGCAACAACGGGATGGACCGTAAAAAAACGGACAGGATCAGTAGGTGCGGAGCACCCTACTGGTCCAGCAACGTCAAGAGAATTTGTAGGCCTCTTGATGAAGGTTGCTCCCAACACACAAACGTTGTGCGTTGCTGCTCTAGGTAATGAGATCTCACTCATTACCTTGAGACTCGAAGTGACGAATAAGTTGTCCCTTCGAGCTCTAGTCGATTGTGGGGCGTCCAACAATTTTGTGCGACGCCAATCGCTAGAAGATGGTCATTTTAAGTTCAGTGAATGTGACACACCTCCTACGAGGATGACGGCACGTCTTGCGACAGGCGCATCCGTAATCGTCATGAAGCGTATAGTGAAGATTCACTATACGCTAGAAGATACCCAGTATGACGATGACTTTATCGTATTGGATTTGGATGAAAAATTTGATGTCATCCTTGGAATACCGTGGCTCAGAAGGTACGAACCACGGGTAAACTGGCAACATCGAACAGTAACGATGCCTGCCGTTTGTTCATCCGATGGCCATCTGATGAACGTTTTGGAGCGTCCACAAGCGTGTGGATGTACTACGAGTGAGTGCGATGGCCTCACTTGTGGTACGGTCGTTAGTACGACTGCACAAAACCTTAGTGTAACAAACGGTTACACTTCGGAGCAAAGTTCCGGCGGCTGTGAGGAAACACAGGCTGCGCCGAAGGTCCACCACTCGAATAAGTCGAGTGTACCGGGACAAAGATGTATCCCTAGCGGGGAATATCTATAAGAGAAACAATCGATCGCTCAGGTTAAGCGAAACGATAATCCTAGATCGACTGGAGAGTCTTTCATAGAGGAAGTAAAGGGAATAAGTCCCGATTTTACAGATACGGCGGAAATAAGTTCCCCGAAACCCGAGGGAATAAGTCCCCGGGAAGCCGAAGGAATAAGTCCTTCGAGGCCTGAGGGAATGAGTCCCCAGGAAGTGACAGACATTGAATGTCCTAGTCAATGATGGATCAAGTGTAGGCGCTTATACACTTGATCTGATTCCGCCTCCGAAGTTAACTTCGGAGATCACTCAGTTGCCAACGCTCGAACATAAAAGGTTCTTGCGTGATCTGCGTAGTGGCAAAGTCAAGAAGATCTGCGTACTCGTCGCTGACGACGAGTGTGTAATTGACATAAGGTCAGCAACAGTGTTTACCGAGAACGAGAGAGTTCTCAGTATTTCATCTATGGACGAGAGTGTCCTAGATGAAAAGACACGAGTTGAGCGATATGACTCCCGATCGTGGGAATCGCTCAAGACAAATCCTCTCTATGAAGATTTGGTTGAATTCAAGGATGTATTCCCTGAAACTGTTCCGTGCGAGTCACCGAAGGATAAATATACTCGGCACGAGATCGAGCTTAAACCAGGCTCGAAGTACTATGTCATGAAGCAGTGGCCACTGCCTCATGAACAAGTACTTGCGATCGACAAGTTCTTTGCCGATCGTTTAGCTGCGGGCCATGTGAGGGAATCAACTTCCCCACATAGCTCTCCGACCTTCTGTGTGCGAAAAGCAACAGGAGGGTGGCGGATAGTGCATGCATTTAACAAGTCGAATGCTGCAACGGTACCGGCTCAGACGCCGATACCGAGGAAGGACGTAATCATTGATGGTATGTCAAAGAGTACCATCTTTTCGTCCATGGATTTGATGGATGGCTTCTATCAAATCCTTATGCGAGAACGGGATATACCCTATACCGCAGTTAGCACGCCTAGCGGCATGCTCTGGGAATGGCTAGTAATGCCACAAGGGCTTAGTAATGCCCCTGCCACGTTCAACAGATGTGTATCACATCTGTTGAGACCATTACGAGAATTCGAACCGAGTTATTTCGATGACGTATTCATCCATAGTCGGGCTATGGATGGAAAGTCGGACGTTGAGATTCACAGATACCACGTCCGACAGGTTCTTACAATCATGCGAAAGCATCAATTGTATGCAAACCTCAAGAAGTGCATATCTGCAGCAAGCAAAATACCACTTCTTGGGTGCATCGTTGGTAAGAACGGTATGCGTCCTGATCCCGAAAAGATCAAGGCGATCACCGACTGGCCTGTGCCGGTTGATGTCAAAGGTCTTCGAAACTTCCTTGGGCTAGCGGCGTATTTGCATAAGTATTCACGCAATTACGCCGAGATGACTGTGCACCTCTCTCGTTTGTTGAAAAAGAACGAGAGGTGGTTGTGGAACGCTGAATGTCAGCGCTCCTTTGAGGGTATCAAGCA